GATAATGGACACAGGTACTAGTCCATCCTAGGGTTCCAGCTTGTGCCAGTGAATTTCAGTCTGCTCATGAGCTTTTCCTCCTGACTGAGCACCTCAGGCTCCATCATCAGTCACAGAGATTCAGCCTTACAGAAATTGCTTAATCAGTTCCACAAGTGTGCAAGCCAGTTCCCTGTAACAAATCAAATACTGTATAGGTGTGTATATGCCTAAATCCCTTCTGGTTCTACTTCTCCATTAACTCTGACTGGTATGAAAACCTGAAGCCCTGCTCACTATTTCTGCCCCATGATCTGTCAGCCAACTCACTGCTTTCATCATTCCCCAAACTCAGGAGCTTTTTCCATACCTGGGGGCCTGTACTAGTGCTGCTACTGCCTAGAATGTCCCTACCCAGAAGCTGCTAGTTTATCTGTCCTCCTTCTACATGTGACTGAGCTCCTTCAGAACAGGGAGCAGGTCTGAAAGGTCTCTATCTCTGCCTCTCCTCAGCTAGTATGTGCTGAATTAATAGCTGTGGACTAGGCCCTTGATATGAGAGATTGCAATCTGTTCTTCCAATACCTCTGTGTTACTGCCTTTATTTTGCAAGTGCAAATGGCCCCAATAGTACTTGCTGACTCCATGACTGGTGAAACTCTCTGGCCACATCATCCAAGGTCTGATGCCTGGGACACAGAGATGTCAGTACCTTTGTGCTGAGTGCTCAGACTTCCAACAGGTCTTGTGCTCAGCACTAAGCCCTGCCATGGCAGAGACAATTTTAGTTAGGTTGGTCCACGAGAGTCAATTGGGTGAACTGCTAAGGCTGCGCAGCCTAAAAAGGGGCCTTTCGAGTGTTGGCAGGGCTGTTCTGAGGCCAAAAAGTTGGAACCAGGGACCCAGAAGGTAGACCTGAGATCATTAGGAGGTTCACAGGGAGGCAGGGTAGTAGGAGGGGAACACTACACTTAGGGGGATGTGAGGGTTGGAGGCAGGAAAACCTGGAGACCCTGGCCAGAGGCAGCATGTTCAGACCCTCCCTGGTTAGCAGTTGAATAAAAGAAATCTTTCTTGGCTCCACTTATAGATGAAGAAACTGAAGCTTGGGGAGAACAATCTTGCCCTAGATCAAAAGGCCGTAGTGGAGCCAGGCCCGGGCCGCTTGACCTCAGCTTGGCCTGGTCCCATTCACCCCCAACCCCAATCCTGCCACGATCAGTGGATACTGAGAGGCAACCCAGCCTAAGTCATTGCTACATACCTTGTCCTTTGCCTTCTCACTGCACTGGAGTCACCTCCCCCAGAAAGCTCTCCTCCTAGGCCTTGCAGTATAATGTGCCTTCAATGTTCACCTGGAACTGAAGTTCCATGAAGCCAAGTCCAAGAGACCCAGTAGGGAAATGGTGTGTCCTGGGCTTCCCAGCTCCGTAGAGGACCTGAGTGTGGTGTCAGGGCAGAAAATAAGCCTCCCAGTCTTACCCACACCAGTAAGATGAGTTTTTGAACAGCTTCCCCCTGGGGCTGTCAGGCTAAAATAAGGACTGTCCTGCCTTCCTCAGAGCACCTAGCTCACACTGAGTGTTCACATGGGGCTGATTATGGCTATCCATCCTTCAACTTAGGGTGCATATCAGAGATGTAGGATCTATCCACAGAGGTACAGCTCAACTGAAGGGCTTAAGTGAGCAAGATGCAAAGAGAGGAGAGAGGGGCCCATAGGTAGAGTGGGACATTGAAGAGTGATTTCGGGGGAAGAGCAATTTGAAGGGATGACAAGGGAGGGTCAAGTGAGTCAAAGGAGTGAGAGACCACATTGCAAATGACAGAAACTCAATTTAAACTAGCTTATTTAAAAAGCAATTTATCAGTTCACATGGCATAGGTCTGAACTAGCCTCAGGCATGGTTGGATCCAGAGACTCCATTCATATCCTCAGGTATGTCTCTCTGTTTTTTGGTTCCAACGTTCTCTGTCTTGGCTCCTTTTTCAGGTAGACTTTCCCTATGTGTTGACAAAGATGGCCATGGGCAATTATGGCCCCATGTCCTTACCATTAGTGACCCCAAGGAAGAGGACAATATTGACTCTCAATGAACCCATTTCTGACCTAATCATTGTGGTAAAGTGAACAATTGACTCAACTCTCATTTGCTATATCTTTGGGTCATGTAACCATCCCCAAGACTGAAGGGGTAAGATTCCCAGAACTATGTGGCCTGAGAGTAGGGTGGGTTGGGTCCGCAGAAGAAAATGAAAGTGTTTTTATTATTATCAGAAGAGTAGGAGGCCTGCCTCAAGGGCTGATCTACTAGGTGAGAGAAGTACTGGAGAATCAAAGAGGGAGGCAGATGGGAGAGCCAGGAGGTGTGAGCAGCAGAGGAAGAATTTTGGTGGGAAATATGGAAAAGCGGTACAAAATAAGGATGACTTGAAGGGCATTTGGGGTGGCCTAGTGCTCATGGGATGACCTCAAAGGACAGAAGGTCACTTTGGTTAAGAAGGGCTACAAGGAGATGAAGCTCAGTGTGAATTGCTGGGCAGAAAGGAGCAGTATGCAATGCAAGTGCCAGGGCCCCTGCAGTAGCCCTTCCCAACCGTCTCTGAGTCTCAAAGCCACTTGGAACCTGGTCAGAAAAAGCCAAGTTCCAGGCCCAGATTCCAATTGGATAATTGGGGTGAGTCTAGGAGGCATTTGGGTTGGGTTTCTGGTTTAGGGAAGGAGGGTAGAATGTAAGGAATCCTGGGTAGGCTGGGGCCTCTCTTGGCCTCTAGCTGCTGTTCTACTCACTGGCCCTGCAGGCAGTATAGGGCAGGACCTAGGCGAACACAATAACCCAGCAGGGCACATTGTCCCCCCGTCAAAACTGCAAAATAGCCCTGGCCGGTTTGGTTCAGCGGTTAGAACGTCGGCCTGCAGTCCAGAGAGACCCAGGTTTGGTTCCCGCTAAGGGCACGTACCTCGGTTGCAGTTTGTCCTCGGCCCTGGTTGGCTGTGCAGGTGGCAGCCACTTGATGTGTCCTTTTCACGTGGATGTTTCTCTCCATCTCTCTGTTCCTCTCTCTCCCTCCCACTCTACCTGAAAAATGGAATAATGTCCTCAAGTGAGGATAAAAAAAAACCCCCAAAAAACTGCAAAATAGATGAAGTTGTTCCTGATCAGCAAGTAGCCAGGACATGGGTCAGCCCTGGCCCACTACTGTCCTGGTCTCTAACTGAGGCCTCCTGCCTGTTTCCTGGATACCCCATTTCCCTAGAACCAAACAGCCACAGCCAAGTCTAGCATCACATCTCCTCCCCTGCCCTAATGACAGTGTTTCCTGCAGCCATCAGTCATAAGTCTCCACACTCAGTTCAGATGTCATCTGCACTCTTAACTTCTGCCTAAAGAGCAGCAATGTGCTCAGCAGTTCGTCTGTGGCAGAAAAATCAGGTAGGGCAGACCTATTCTGCCCACTGCTGTGTCCTCCTGGCCCAACACAGGGCACGGCAGGTAAGATTCACACTGGTGCCTGGCCAGTGTGGCTCAGTGGATTGAGTGTCATCCCATGGACTGAGGGGTCCTGGTTCGATTTCATGTCAGGGCACATGCCTGGGTTGCTGGCTTGATCTCCAGTAGGGGGTGTGCAGGAGGCAGTGGGTAGATGTTTCTCTCCTTTCCTCTCTCTAAAAAAATTAATAAAACGTGAAAAAGAAAAAAAAATCACATTGGCACCTACTTCTGCAGTTCCCCAAGGCAGGAAGCAGCTGTGAGGAGCCCCCAGAGGAATATGGAGACTTATAGAGGGAGTGGAGTGACCACTTGCCCTTGTGTGATTCTGCAAGGTGATAGGTGGTTGAGAGGTCTCCCCTGTGACCCCTCCTTGTGTGCCAGTGGGAGGGTAATGGCTGCCACAAGAGGGTCAGGGGTACCAGCAGGCCACAGACCCTTTTCCAGTGGTTCTCCCTTCCCTCCTCCAACTCTCCCCCCTATCACCTGTAGTCTACATAAGGATCTCTGCATCTCTCTCACCTAATCCTAGCCCAGGCTTGCCCAATTTGGTACAAATACTACCCACTGTTCTAGAACTTTCCTTGGGTTTTAGGGTTGTCTTTTCATAGGAACATGTCAAAATAGGCCTCAGCCTGCTGCCCAACTCGAGGAACAACTATTCCATATGCTGGACACCAGAGCGTCTCAGGGCTGAGGGTCATTCTTCCCAATGTGTCCAATAACTCTCCAGTCCAATCTGCAATGTACATTAGCCAACAAACAAGATCAATCAGTGCGTTGCTCAGGCCGCACCCCAGGATGTGGACGGTGACTCAGAGCCCAAGGCCTTCCACTATCAATACAAGTCACCTAGAATTCTGAATAATCCACCTGCATAAAAGGTAAATTAAGAAGCCCAGCCTGGTGTGTCCTTACCAATAAACCCCGAAAAAGCATCGCCACCCCTACCATCCCAAGGGACCCGTATTGAGGACTGGACCAGACTATCTCCAGTATCTTTCCATTTGTGCTCACGGGAAACCGGTCCCCTGGGTCCCATCATCCCACCAGCTAGCAGAACCGACTGCATCCATCCCTAATCCACTCAGAATAAAATGAGAGAGGCTCAAAGGTTTAAACAATTTATTGTGCCCCCAAAATTATGACAGGATAAAGTGATGCTCCACGCAGTACCGCGCGATTGTTCGTTGCGCACCCAAAGGCGGGAAAAGTGGGGAGCCGGAAAGGGCGGCGCGGTGGCTTCGGCCAGTGGCGCTGGCGAGCGGGTAACCATAGCGACAGCCGTTGTCAAGGGCGAAGAGCCAATGGGGGCGTCGCCGGGGCCGTTTCAAAATCCAAAGTGAACAAACAAAAAACCACTACCACGGTGGGCGGGAGATGGGAGGGAGGGAGGGAGGGGCCCTGGGTCTCTGGGCCCCAGGCTGGACTCGGAGCAGGCGCGACGGCCTGGGCCAGGGTAACCGTATAAAACTACATACACTTGGGATACAAAAACCCAACACCCGCCCGACCCGCAGACCCGCGCGCTCACTTGCGGCCCTTTGGCACTTTGGGAACGCTGGGCTTGGCGGCCTTCTTCACCTTGCCCGCAGCCGCCGCCGCCTTCTTAGCCTTGCTGCCTTTGTGCTTCTTAGAGGCAGCACCCTTCTTGTGCGAGCACTTCTCAGGCTTCTGGTCCGAGCGCCGGTGTCTCGCAGCGCTCGGGGCCGCCTTCTTGGCCTTGTGCATGGGGGCAGCCGGCACGGTGGCGGTCGCTGACGCTCCGCGCCGTTCGCCGCCGCCTTCCACCTTCTTGCGATTAAGCTTGAAGGAGCCGTTGGCGCCGGTGCCCTTCACTTGCAGGAGTGTGTCGTTCTGCACCAGGGCCTTGATGGAATACTTCAGGTAGGTGCGCCCATTCTGTTGGTCGAACCACGCCACCTTCTTAGCCTCCGTGTAGATCTTAGCCAGCGACGAGCCATTGCGCTCACCCAGCCTGCGAATGGTCTCCACCACCAACTGGCTGTACTTGCCCGGCTGGTTTTTCTTCTTGTTCTTCCTCTTGGGTGGGGACAGCACCGCCGAGCCGCTAGCCTTGGCCGCCTTCTTGGCCGCCCCGTCGGCGGTTGTCAGCGGCAGGGCCTCCTCAAGCTCCACAGACATAGTGGCGAGCGGGTTGGTGGCGGGCCGGACGCGGAAGCCGGGTGGTCGCGCCGGGAAGAGGAAAGCGAGGGGCTGAGGGAACGCAGGGGGACTGGGGGCGCGCGGCGGCTCCAGGCGGGAGCGGCCGCGGCCAGGCCTGGAGCCAGGCGGCAGGGCTGAGGCGGGGGCCGGGCCGGCAGGCGTCCCGGGCCAGGCCTGGGCCGGAGAGGAAAGAGGAAATCGGAGTGGGAACCGGGCCGCAGCGGAGAAGCCGCCCAAGGGAGCTGCCTCTGCCGCTGCCGCTGCCGCTGCCGCCGCTGCCACTACAGCCACCACAGTTCTCTGGGTATGCACGCTGCGCTCTACCGGGGAGGGCGCCTCTGTTCCCTTTTATGGTTCCGCGGCGGACCACGTTGAGAACAACAACAGCCTGGTCCGGAGCCAGCTCCAACTTGTGCTTTCTGGAGCCCCTTCCTCGGCCGCTGGCTTCCAGCGCCTAGCCTCCCCGACCTCGCCGCGCTCTCAGCCCTGCGTCCCAGACAGAGCCCGAGCCCCAGGGGCAGTGAAGAGGTGGCTTGTGCCTGGGAAGGGCCCGGCATTGGGAAACGGAGGGGTGCACCCTCGGCTGCGGAGCGCGAGAGGAGGGGGGCACCCGATTTGGGGATAAATAGCGCAGGTCCCTGGGGAGGCACTAGGGCCCTGACCTTTGCAGCTGGCAGCCAAGAGTGTGCCACGTGCACCCAAGCTCTGACCGCGTCCAGGGATCCTCCGGCCTGCAAGCAGGTCCAGATTTAATTTGTCCCAACTAACACAGGGTACGCCATCACGTGGTTGGCCCGGGCACAGTGACGTGAGCAAGGACTTCTTGGGGGCGGGGGTGGAGGGGCTCTGCCCACCTCCAGCGGTGAACCCGCGGACTTGTTATGCCTCGCGGGGCCTGGTTACAACACGCGAGGAAGCGGAGGAAGATGGCATTGCTTGTCAGAGGGCATTTTCTTGCCGATCCCCCCACTCCCCCCTGATGCTCCAAGTACCCCATTTTGTGGGTAGCCAACACTGCCCTCTTCCAAGCCAAATGGCGGCTGCTGGGTGGGGCTGAGTCGGGATGTGTAAGGCCACCGGGTAGTCCTGGAGAGACCTCTCCGGGTACCAGGCAAAGACCTCCGCCAAGGGTGGTGGCCATGAGCTTTGCTGGACCCAGTACTGGGAGTACTTAGGAGGCTCCAGGGACAGCCTTGAAGCCAAGGAAGTCTATACTTTGGGGAAGCTGAGATCACGGGGAGACACTCGGGAGGACAGCTGATCCCTTTGGAGTAAATGATTTTAGGCCCGGGACCAAGGGGCCGCTGCAGAAGTGCAAACAAGAACAAGCCCCCTGAGATCCAAGCATAGAGGAGGGAGGGGTGCACAGCTGGGAGGCTAGAGAATTAGGGTTCCAGGGTTCAGAGAGCTGGAGGTTATGAGGTTTCTAAAAGGTGAGGGCATGGCCCCGCCGGTGTGGCTCTCTGGTTGAGATCACCAGTTTGATTCCTGGTCAGGGCACATGTCCAGGTTGTGGGTCAAATCCCCAGTGGGGGGCATGCAGGAGACAGCCTAATAAATGTTCTCTCATCGATGTTTACATCTCTCTTTCCCTCTCCCTTTCTCTCTCTAAAATCAATAAAGAAAAAAATTTTTTAAGGTGGGGGCATGTTTCTGGGACTTCTGTCCCAGCAGGCTCTTCTGACTGGGCATGGTGGTCCCCGCCTCTCTTGTGGGCTCTCACCCCTTTCATAGTGCTTTCACAGACCTTATTTGCCCTCAAAAGAGCTAGTGAATAAGCCCCAAGAGAGAAAGAAATTGACTGGGAAAGTGTAATGATCTTTTGGGGGATTTGGGGGACGTTCAGGAACATGGAACCAGAAAAAGCTTTTGCCCTCCAGGGCAGTGAGTGCATGCCATGGGAGAGGGAAGACAGATTTTAGTCCAGGTCCCTGCAAAGGCCATCCCCCTCTACCAGAAAGTAGGTCCCCTAAATGGAACTATGGGGGGGGGGGGGTTCTGAAAGTGCCACAGAACTGAGCCCTGGAAGCAACACTGGAGAGTGTGAAGGGTCTTGCAGAGATTGCACTGTTTGAGCAAAGATTTCAAGTTCTAAAATGCAAGGTATGCACTGGCTGGAGTTTGGGGGCCTGGGTTTATGGAGATGAGAATCGGCAAGATGCAGATGCCATGACACATAGACAAGTGTCTGCCCAGGAGCAGGAGCTTTGCAAGAATGAACAGAGGGCTCGTTGGGGAGATGGTTCTCTGGGTGGTTCAGAGTGCCTGGAGATGAGATGGGAACAGGACACCTAGAAGAGAGCTGGCTGGAGGAAACCACATAGAAAAGAGGTGGCTGAGGGGAGCCTGAGCTTGGGTCTCTGAAAAGTCAAAGGGAAAGCAAAGGATAATGCCCCTGATAGAACCCCAGTATGGGTAACAAGGGCCTCCCAGACTGACATTTGTGCCACCATCACTGGAGAGAAAGTCGCTGGAAATGTGAATCTGAAGCTAGTGGCAGCAGCAATGCTGGGTGAAGGAAAGGGAAGCTGCTTCACTGGAGCCAGAGGAAGAATGGTCAGAGAGGAAGGAAAGAACCTGGTATGGCTGAGAATCAGGGAGGCAAAGGAGGAGGGAGTTTCAAGAAGGGCTGGTCCATCACAGCGCAGCCCACTCAGAAAGTGGGTTTCTCATCAAGGGGGAAGCCTCAGTGGAGCTGAGGAGATTGGTGAGCTTCCAGCCACAGAAACCAAGCTCACTACTCCCAAGACTGGCCTGCTGGACTCTTCATTTCACACAGTGTTTTTGTTTTATTTTTATTATTATTTTTTTTAATTTGTTTTTTCCTTTATTGATTTTAGAGAGAAAGAAAGTGAGAAGGAGAGAGACAGAAACATTGATGAGAGAGAACATCGACTGGCCGCCTCCTGCATTCTCCCCACTGGGAATTTGGCCCACAACCTGGGCATGTGTCCTGACCAGGAAACAAACCTGCGAACTCTTGGTGCATAGGCTGATGCTCAACCGCTGAGCCACACCAGCCAGACTGTTTTGTTTTGTTATAAAAAAACAAAAAAATACCACCTAGCCCTAGCTGGTTTTGCTCAGTGGTTAGAGCGTCAGCCCGCAGACCAAGGGTCTTGGGTTCGATTCCCGGTCAAGGGCACATACCTCGGTTGCAGGTTTGATCCCTGGCCTGGTCGAGGTCATGTGGGAAGTAACAAATTGATGTGTCTCTCTCATGTCGATGTTTCTCCCTCCCTTCTCTATCTAAAAAAAATCAGTGGAAAAATATCCTCGGGTGAGTATTAACAACAACAAAAATACCTAAATTAGTAACAGGATTTTTAAATTTTCAGATAAAAATACAGTCTAGATTTCAGATTTCCCTTTTTAAAAAATCAGATTTAACCTGGGGGCGGGGGGGAGAGATGAGGTAGGGCCTCCTCTAGATGAGCCAGACTGCCAGAACCAGAGCCAGTGTGGGGAAGAGGGAAGGTTCCTGAACCCTGGCCATATCTGGAGGAGAGAAGATCAGTGGAAGGAGGCACAGCAGGCAGGCAGTGTGGTCCAGGTCATGGGGAAGAATACAGAAGACACTGTTCAGAGTCCATTCCAGCCCTGATAGATTCCTTAGCCTGCCAGTGGAGAGGGTGATTTTTCCAAGAGGTAGGCTGACTGCCTGTGGACCTGTGGACCAGGGCTCAGGAATACAAATTCCAGACTTTGGGAGCTGGCAGGGACCAAGAGGTTTTATCTCACTGGACTCATTATACAAACGAGAAAACAGGACTGGAGGAAGGGGTAGTTAGTGGATAGGACTGGGGTACTGCCAGCCTTCAGGGATAACTCTCAAATCCCACACAGGTAGATAACTCCCTTGCCACCCTTCTAAGGAAACCATGGATGAAGGACTCAAGTGGCCAATGAAAAATGACAAAATATGGGGAAAAAGGAGCATCTGGAAGTGGCCAGTCTGTCAGTTTGGAGGAAGCTCAGGGGATGTGTCCTCTTCTCTCCCTAGGTGAGTAAATTCATCCAGTCCTGGGGTTCCAAACACCATCCATACAATGATGACACTCCCTTTCTGTCCGCAGCCCTGATATCTGTCTTCTGACCAAAAGACGTTGGCATCCCCACTTCTCTTCTGTGTAGTGACTAAAACTGATTTTCTCTTGCAAACTTGCTCCTTTCCAAACTTTCACAAAATGTTCTAGCCAGAAAGCATACCCCCTTTGATTTATATTTTCCTCTACCCACCGAACCCATCATCAGGTTGTCCCCCATTCGGGCTCTACATTCATCCACTTCTCCCCAAGCCACAGTGCTTTCCATCCTTCTACTCTGGTTTCTCTAGTCCTCTCCACACAGCATCAGAGGGAGTGGTTAACAGAAGTCCAATCTTGTGTGTCCTGCCTCTGTTAAAAGGCCTCCAATGAATTTTCATCAAACTTAGGATAAATCTGTACTCAGCCACACTGGCCTTTTTGTTCCTCACACATACCCAGAGGGCTCCCACTTCAGAGCCTTTGCACTTGTTGTGTGGCTGGCTCCTTTCCTTCAGATTTCAATCCATAAATACCACTTCAGAACAGCCAAACACCTCCCTAGAACTCCTATCATCACCCTACTTTATTTTCTTCATAGTACTTATCATCTAACCCTATTTTGCCTATTTAATTCAGTACTGGGAGCTCTCTAAGAGCAAGGTCTGCCTTGCTCCCTGCCAGGCCCCAACCCTGGGCACAATTTGCCTGGCTGATACAGCATCTGCTCACTGTTTTCTGAGCCTGAGGATAATACAGGTTTACCTGAGCAGTGGCAACAGGACAGTGGACTAGGAGTCAAGTCCCTACTTTGTCTTGGACCATGGGTCTTTCACAAACTCCATGTGTGACCCATTACTCCTACCCACAATGCCCAGCCTCATTTCTCCAGTTTGCGAAAAGGGGTTGGATGTTTGGAGTTTGAATGACCCTTCTAGCATTGACATGCTGAATCTGGACTTCTGAACAGAGATACATGGCCTCAAGAGAAGTAAGGACCGAGAATATAGCCTGGCTGGAAAACTGGACACAAACCAGAGGCCTATGTGTCAAGGGAGTTGTCTCTGGGGCATGATGGGAAGTCCGGGACTGGAATTGCAGAGCTGTAGGCTTCTTGTTTCTCTGTGGGTCTCATGTTGTCATTTGTGAAAGGAGTATATATGCACAGGAGCTCATGGAGGCACTTCCACCTTCAAAGTTTTCTGAAAACCTGGGAAGGAGCCTGCTCTGGGGAAGGGGCGAGGAGGCTGAGAGGTGCCATAGGAGTCACCAGCCCTGAGGATGGGTTCAGAGGCTCTGCTGCCTGAGGGCCCCTGGTTAGGGAAGGCCCAGTTGGCTTGGGTCAGGCTGCAATCAGTTGAAGGCCAGAGGCTGACTCCCCAAAGTGTGTAAGAGAGGTTGGCTCCAGCCTTTTCCTGGGCTGGGAGGGAGGGTGGCAGGGCCTGGTTTGGGATTTAAGATGTAAATAGAAATTTAGTGCTTTTCAGCATTTAAGGGGAGACAAAGGGAAATAACCAGACAACAAGAAGGTTGTCTTTAAGATGCAAATGTATATTGTGAAGCCCGGAATGAGGACCTGGTTAGGGGCCTTGGCCCCAGACCCGAAGGTGCTGCGGTGAGGTTAGGGAAGGGCCAGAGATCAAAGGATGAGAGGAGTTGCTGCTGAGGCTGAGAGGATGGGGGAAAGTATGGACTGGGATAGAACGGGAGTTCCTGGCTTGGAGGGAGCCTGCCCAGATGGAAGTGGGGGTTATAGAAGGTGCTGGGCCCAGCTCTGCAAGGGGACTGGGAAAGGCACCTGGACAATGTACTCTCCACTGACTGCCCACAGCTTAGGCCTAGGGCACCAGCAAAGCCAAGTCCCTCAAAGGGTTCTACTATAATAGGCATTTTTAAGGAATGGATTTTGTAGTACTTACTATGGAAGAAACCAGACCTTGCAGGACTTCACTCAGCATCAGTACTATTTTTATTTGGAATCACATTAAGGGAAAGGGTCTATGCCCCAGTCTCTAGCTGTCACAGGCCCACATCTGCATTATTTAGCCTTAAGGGAGGGCTTATTTCCAGGGACCAAGCACCATGGGTGCTGAGTAAGAATCCCCAACCTAGAAATAGGACCTGAGATACTCAAAGAGTTGTGAAGGGTTGGAGATTTGAACCTGTCATCTTCAACACGATCTCCAGAAAGGATTTAGCCACCTCCCTCTGTTGGTTCTCCAAGAAATATAAAGGTAGCTGGACTGGGCATTATGGTGGCACAGGAGAAAAGGGAAGGTGGTGGCCCTAATTTGGCTTGGGCCCAGTCTGTTGTGTCATTCGGCTTTAAAAGCTGATTAGCCCTGGCCAGTTTGGCTCAGTGGTTAGAACGTCAGCCTATGGACCAGAGAGACCCAGGTTGGGTTCCTGCTAGGGGTACATCTCAGTTGCAGTCCCCGGCCCCGGTTGGAGTCGTGTGGGTGGCAACCAGTTGATGTGTCTCTCTCACATCGATGTTTCTCTCTCTCTTCCTCCATCTCTCCTTCCCACTCTATCTGAAGATAAATGCAAAGATAAAGTAAAAGCTGATTAGTTTTGTCCTAACCTGTGTGGCTCGGTTGAGTGTTGTCCAGTGCACCTAAAGTTCACTGGTTTGATTCCAAGCCAGGGTGTGTGCAGGAGGCAACCAGTGGATATTTCTCACATTGATGTTTCTCTCCCTCTCCCTACCTCTCTCTCTTAATACATACATACATACATAAATTATTTTTAAAGCCGGTTAGTTTTTTCTTAAAGTTATTCATGGTATAAAATATAAGTGGTATAGAAAGATGTGAAGTGAAAACAGAGTTCCCATCCTTACTCCTATTGCCCGGATATGGCCACAGCTTTTGGTGGGCATACAGCCAGACCTACCCAAGTGCACACATTTGTGAGCGGTGCCCTTGTATTTCTTGCAATGGGATACACGTGCACGTCTGCGTACTGCTTTTGTTTACTTTGGGCATCTCCATCACTTCATTTTAGTATAACTTGTTCTTTTGAATAGCTGCAGAGTCCCACAACTGGTTGTGTGTGAGTTTATTTAACCAGTCCTACTGATGGGCATACAGTGCTAGTACAATGGTGCTACCCCTATCTTTTCTTTACTGGCCCGAAATAACTACAGGATTTAATCTTTACCAGTGGGGTTTCTCTGTTAAAGAGAAATGTTAATTCTTGATGACCTGTGGCCAGGTTGCCCTCAGAGCATGCACCTCCCCTTTCTTCCAACTCATGCCTGTATCCCCATCTGGGGCCTGATTGAACACATCATGCCACCCTGGTGTGAGTACTGCCTTCAGGATTTGTTTTTCATCCCTTTCAGGATTTGTGACTCCATCCAGCCTGGTTTGCATGTGTTCTCCCCAGGACCCCATTTCAGGTGCTGCCATCATTGCCAAACCCTCAGTGACCTGGCCACCCCCTCCTCCTCAGGACCTTCCTGCCTGTGTTCACCCCTGCCCCCACTGTCATTTCTTCTGGACCATTGCTCAACCTCCGTCACCAGCCTTTCTTGGGGGCTTGAAAGCATGTGACTTTATGCCCCCTTCACAATCTGGCTTCTGCCGGCCTTTCTAACTTAATCTCCCATTCTTCAATCCCACTGAAAGGAGCAGGAGAGAATAATAGAGAACCAATCATAGTGGAGTGCTAGCCATAGTTATAAGAAATGTTGAACATCTTTGCTGTTAATTGTGATTACTTTGTTTTGATGAAAGAAAACCCATTTTGACATGGCTGGGAGATGTACGCCCTGGGTGTTTAGGTCAGGAGTGCTGTTCATTCTCCTTCCTGGGGAGTTGCCCCTCCTAATCATGGAAAGAGTAACAACCTTGGAGTCTTGGAGGTAGTACACTGGAGACAGCCCACATTCCCCAGCTCCCATTACTTCCCCATGCCTGGAATCTGTGTTTTACCTGCTGTTATTCCTTTTGCCTACTTCCCCATGAAATTAATAACCAATGCAAGCCACTGACCATGGAAGGAATGCAGAGCAGATTTTTGCAGGATGACCTGGCTGGTCTCCCATACTGCCGGCAATATTGGAATAAATGCTCATGTAAGATTCAACTTTGTCTCTGCTTAATTGGCTCAAGTAGTGACAGGCAGCCCGGACCTATTTGTTGTCTTGTTGTACCATCATAAGTCAGCCTCTTGCCCTCTGCAGTAACACCAAGTGGCCTTGGCTGCCCTTTCTTCTGTGTCTCACCAGAGACTTAACTTTGCCTCCCTCAGAAGCCTCCCCTGCCCTCTGTGTCCTGTGACACACAACTGGGGCTTTTGCCTGGCTCTCCAGCCTGTTGGTGCAATGGGGCCTGCTGCTAGAGTTCAAAAAGCTTGGACCAGGGGTGAGGAGATGAGCAGGGTAATAAGTATTAAAAACTAAAATATGGCTTCTGTAGGTCCTGCCCTCGAATAACTGGCCAGGGTAAAAGAGCTCCTGACCAGGTTCATCCTTGGGTGGAAACAGTAGAGAGGGAAGCTCAGAGAAGCACAATCATTTAGGAAACATTTATGGAGTCAAGACCTTGGGAGAGGGAAGCCAGACTCATGTTACTCAGGAGAGACTGGCTCCCAGCCCCCACTATGTCTACCTTTAGGGGATTTCCTTTACTTTGGGGGCCAAGGTCTTCTAGATCATCTTGAACCTCCCCAAACTGAATGCTAGTTTAAAGGCTCAGAGGGAGCACTAGCTCAGCTTGAACTCCCAATGATCCAAGCAGCAGCCAGTCTGTAGTAGCTTTGCCTCTGTGAGAGGGAGCCTCCCCTCAGGGCTTGGTTTCCACTGTAGGGCTAGAGTTGTCTTCCAGCCTCAGACTTGGGGTAGAGCTTGACATCTCTTCTCCAGAAGCTCCAAGGTTTGAGGCCCAAGGGGCCAGGAAAGGATCAAGAGACCATTCTGGCAGGAGGCTCCAGGCAACCAGGGCAAAGCCTGACAGAGCAACGGTCTTCCAGTGTCTGCCTATGCAGTCAGCCCTAGGCAACCTGCTCTGACCAGTGCTGTAACAGGATGCCTCTTGGCTGAGGTGCAGGCAAGGAAATCCTGGGTTTCTCTCTCTCTCTCCTTGAAGAAGTTTCATTTGGTGAAGACTGTCTTCCTGGGGAAGAACCTGAAAGCCATAAAGGGTGTGGGAGCAGCCTAAGCCCCATGCTCAGCAGAGTTGGGGGCACCACGTAGTATGGCCTACTTGCCGGGAATTCCACATTCCCATGGTGGGGATATTTCTACCTCCACTGCGCAGATGAGAAAACTGAGGCCTAAGATAGATTGGTAATATTTCCAATGTTATCCAGCATGGAAAAGATAGCAAAGCATATGTGTTTGCCCCACTTATAGTCACCCTTCTGCCACCCCAGTCACTCTCTAGTATCTTGTTTTATACCCCTTATCACTTTCTGAAGTGAATCTGTTTCATGCCCGTCACCCCTACTAGAGCAGGGGCCCTAACTGCTGCTCAGGGCTTGGCACATAATAGGTCCTCAATAAATATTTGTTGAATGAATGAGATGGAATTCAAACCCAGCTCTGGCTTGGTACTCATGCTTCCTGTCACAGCACTAACCCTATGTGGGTCCTAACTCAAAGTGTCTGTGTGCTGGGCCCCACTAGCCCACCTGGCAGAGCAGGCAGTGGCCCCACAGGGTTTGTGACACCTTTAGGAAGCTTAGTGAAAAGCCTACTATGACCTTTGCAAGGCTCGTAAGTTTATTTCCTACAGTTATTATTTGTCCAATCTTAGGGATCCTGAAATTCTCCACAAGAACTGGTGAACTGCTGACTTAAAAGTTTTCCTCCTGAGATGAGGTCCTCAACCTCAAACCAGACTCTGCTCCCTAACTGCCATTATCCAGGGGGGGGCGACGACTTGCCAATTAAGATGGCTGCTAGCCACCCGACCCATACTACAATAATCTTCTGTCTGGTCCCCCTACTTCCTCTCTCCCTATATTCCCCCAAGCTCAGTCTAGACGTTTCTACACTTGAGGCAGCTAGAGTAATAAGTAGCCTTTTAAAAAGTGAATCAGCCCTGGCCAGTTTGGCTCAGCGGTTAGAGTGTCGGCCTGCGGTCCGGAGAGACCCGGGTTCGGTTCCCGCTAAGGGCACGTACTTCGGTTGCAGTTTGTCCCCGGCCCTGGTTGGTCGTGCGGGTGGCAGCCACTCGATGTGTCCCTTCACATCGATGTTTCTCTCTCTCTCTCTCCCTTCCTCTCTCTCCCTCCCACTCTATCTGTACAAAAAATGGAAAAATACCCTCGGGTGAGGATTAAAAAAAAAAAAAGTGAATCAGAGCCCTGGCCAGTTGTGCTCAGCGGTTGGAGTGTCAGCCCGCAGACCAGAGAGGCCTGGGTTCAGTTCCCGCTAAGGGCACGTATCTTGGTTGCAGTTTGTCCCCAGCCCGGTAGGGGTTGTGTGGGTGGCAACCACTTGATGTCTCTCTCTCACATCAATGTTTCTCTCTCCCCCCCTGCTCTGTCTGAAGATAAATGCAAAATGTCCTCAGGTGAGGGGATTAAAAAAAAAAAGTGAATCAGAGCTTGTTGCTCTACTGCTCAAAAACCCTTCAGCAGTTCCCCCAACTTACCTCTTTGACTTGATCTCCCAGTAGCCTCCTTTCTTTGTCAGGCTCACCCTAAACTGACACAGTATGTGCTGGGTTATGATGCCAGCTGTCCTACCTGCCCGAACCCTCTTCTCCACACTTCCAACTCTTAAACTCCACAAGCTTCTTAAATTCTGTCATCCTGATTCCTTTTCTCCAACAAAATTACCTTTTATTTACATGCTTAATGTCTTTCCTCCTACCCCAAGACCTTGTCTGTTTTGTGTAGCATCCAATGATGAGAATCTAGAAATGAATCTAACTCCTGGTCAATGAATCTAACTCCTGGTCCTAGTCAGGACTCAGAATTCTATTTGTGGAACGTAAAAAAAAAAAATTAGAAAACAACCAAACCAACACCCAATCTAGAGGCTGACATAAATGGGTCTAAAATATGTGTTCCTTTATTCCCTTCTAATCAGGTAATAATTCTTGAACAAGGAGGCCCTTGAGGAACATTTTGGGACCATTGAGGAGTTGAATGGTAAGGACCCTAAGACTCATCTTGTTGTCCCATCTGCCCACCCCTATTTCACAAGAAGCTGAGGTCCAGAGAAAAGACAGGCCCCAGCCCAGCTGGTGTGGCTCAGTGGTTGAGCATCGACCCATGCACCAAGAGGTCGCCAGTTCTATTCCCGGTCAGGGTACATACCCAGGTTGTGGGCCCAATCCCCAGTGGGGCCATGCAGGAGGCGGCCAATCAGTGCTCTCTCTCATCAATGTTTCTATCTCTGTCTCCCTCTCCTTTCCTGTCTCTCTAAAAGCAATAAAGAAGAAGAAGAAGAAAGGCAGGCCCTAGCCAGTGCATTTGGATTATATTTCAAGTCTAATTCCCAGTTCAGTGCTCTTGCCCCACATGGCCCTTGTCTGTCCACATAGCCAGGCATGGGGAGGGAAAAGCAAGGCCAAGGAAAAGCCACAGGCTGGGAATGGGCTTTCAGCGGAGTGCCTCCCTTGTCTTGGAGCAGAAGACAACCACTGGAAGGCTGTCCAGGCCAGGCACTGAAACCATACCTCACTGGGAACAGTCCAGGGAGCTGTTTAGCCTCAAGAACAGTGTGAGGAACTGAGCATTCTTCTGCTATCTAAACTACATTCTGGACCTGTCCATTTTGTAGTCTGCCACTAGATTGAGAAAGCTTCAAAGCGAATCTCTTTGTTGCCAGATCTTCAGAGGCCAAGATTTTCTCAGAGCCCTTATTGGATCATGTCTGCCCCTGTAAAACACCTGGGTGGCTTCCCATCACACTTGGAATAAAATCCAAATGTCTCCCCACAACTGTGAAGGCCTGACGAGGTCTGAGCTTTGCCAGCCTCGCTCTAGTTCCTACCCCACTCTTCTTCGCAGCCCGTCTTTTTTTCATGTCTTGGTCAGTTGAGCCCAACCACACTGCTGTGCCTTTGTGTTGCTGATCCCTCTCTTCAGACTCATAGGCCCCCATCCCTTGTTGCCAATTATGTTAATATCACCTCACCATCTATGGAAGCACTCCCTAAACACCCCAATCTGAAGTAGGGTTGCCTCCCTCCTATCTTTCACCATCACTTTTCCTTCACTGCACTTATAATTAGAGTTTTTGCATTTCTTCTAATCGCTCCATCCCACCTGAAGGTCAGCCCCTCTGTTTTATGTATCACTGAATCCTCTGTACCTGGCACAAAGTAGATAGTCAATAAACATGTTTGAATAAATAAAATATGAAGGGCCCTCATGAAGTACAGAGATTTGGCTGGTCTTTTCTGTCCAAAGTATTGAACTGGGTGTCTGGAGAACCTGGAGGTGAGGACCAAGACAGCATCTTCCCCTGCCCCTCCTACCTGATATCTTAGGATTGCTGGTGAGCAGCTCAGACTAGTTGAGGACTGAGGGTTTTTACAAAGGTGGAGACAACTTGTATTGGTCTATCTCACCATCCTCACTGTAAGCTCCCCCACAGTGATAGGCGCTCTGCGCTGGGTGAGTGCCATGTGCACAATGCCGTTTGAAGGGTGGCTTGGAGTGAATGTTGATAGAACATGCACACCAGGTGTGATATGGGGGACAGTTTTGGTTTAGGGGAGCTGGAACAGTTCTCCAGAAGGACAAAATCTTCAACTCTAGTGTTAAAAATGACCCACGAGGATGTTGCATAGTTCAGTTAGTAACAACCAAGAATGGGGTCAGTCGTTTTGGAGGTCTCTGGGGCATAACAAAAAAGATCCCTAGTATACATCTGTAAGATATTTAATGCTGACTCTTAAAGATTCTGGACCCCTGAAAAGGATGATTCTCTATTTCCAGGGAAATGGTAGCAGGTTCCCAGCTATTGCCATTTTTAGCTGTCCTAAGTCCAGAGCCTCTTCAGAGTGGGAGGATTATCTTCCCAGTTAGCCCCTGCAGTTTCGAGAGTGTGCCCACATATTGCTTAATTCATTGGTCCTGGATGAGAGAAAGGTGCCGCCCTTCCTAGCCTTTTCCTTTTCCTAGAGGGAGCACAGGGTTGACCTTTCGGTCCCTCTTGCCCCACCTATGCCACCACCTCCCCAGGGTCAGACCCCGACAGAACAGCCACCCAGATCACTGGGCTCCACCGGCATTCTGCGAGGCAGTTAGGCGCTGGGCGCGCGCCCTTCCCCAAATGTCACTGTGCAGAGACTTTGCCCAGCCTCTCATCTCCACAGAGACCTGCACACTTCAGCAGACACTGAAGTTGTGCACCTTGCAGCAAAGCCACTCAATGACTGCTGGGACACTCGCCTTTTCTGGGCTCAGTGCGCTAACCGGTTTCCAAGACTTGCCAGATCCTAAAACCATTTGAGATGCCTATTAACATGCAAACTACCAGACTCCTTTCTCTAAGGAGTCAGTCAATAGGTCCAGGGAGGGGCATGGGATTCTCTATTTTAACAAGTAGATTAGATGATTAGGCAGGGTTGACAAAGGAATTGACCCAAAGTCAGGAGAGTTGGGACTCTTGGGTATTATTACTAGTAGTCCAGGACCTGTATTAGAGCTTTTCTCCAGCAAGGCTCTCCTGAGGTGTTGCTAATGTTTCCCTGGAGTGGGGCCCCAAGTGTTTGTCCCTTGAGCACAGATTACCCCAATAACTTGCCCCACTGTGGGCTACAGGAGAAAGGATAGAAGCCCCAGGGAAGGCATTCCTACTTTGGGGACTGCCTCCCCTACCCCCTTCTTAAAAATGTTTGTATTGATTTTTTAGAGAAAGAGAAAGATAGAAACATCGATGGGCTGCCTCCTGCATGCCCCCTACTGGGGGTTGAGACCAAAACAGGGCATGTGCCCTGACCAGGAATCAAACCTGGATCTCTGAATCTATGAGACTGATGCTCAATGCACTGAGCCACACCGGCTGGCTGAGCTCACCTACCCCCTTAAATCCTGGCCAGGCCATCCCAGCTCTGCAAAGCTGACCACTGTCTTTGATCTCTACCTGGGAGTCTGAAATAACATTCTTCTAGCACCCATCTGTGATCCTTCCCAGCAGGGTAGGCCATATCTAAGCTTGCCAAGAAGACCAATTGCTGGTCACCTCACAATACCCCTGCACAGATTGTTAGATGTCCAGAGTTCCAACAGAGGAGCCAATGGGTTAAAAATATACTTGGACCCTGGCCAGTTTGGTTCAGCAGCTAGAGCGTCAGCCTGAGGACCAATGAGTCGCAGGTTCAATTCCAATCAAGGGCACGTACCTCGGTTGTGATTCACCCCCGGCCCAGGTGGGGGTCGGGCATGGTTGGGGTCATATGGGAGGCAGCCACTTGATATGTCCCTTTCACGTCTATGTTTCTCTTTCTCTTCCTCCCACTCTATCTGAACAAAGATGGAAAAATGTCCTCGGGTGAGGATACACACACACACACACACACACACACACACACACTCAGGCAGGCTGACCTGAAAGCTGACTTGTACAGTGATCTGATAAGGTGAAAACTGGTACATATCTGATCTGCCACAGTGCCAATTAACAGAGCTGGCTTTCAGAATAACCTTTTAACCAGTACCTCCAAACATTCCTGATGCTGCCTTCAAGGCTTGTCCATTCCAATCGTCAGCCCCTGTGGTTAAACTGGATACTGGGGACCAGTGCTCCCCAGACTTGACTGATCATAACACCAGAGATCCCTCCATAGTACTGGGGCTGTCTGTTCCATGAATCTATGAACCCCTCCCTGCCTTTTTCAACTTTCTGACATATTTCTTTACTAATGCCAGGACACCTCAATGTTGCTAATCAAAGAAATGCAAATTTAAACCACATTGAATGGCAGCAGGAAGGACCAGAAGGTGAGTGTGTGAGAGAGTGAACAAGTGTCTGAGAGTGTTAGTAGACGTGACAGTGGACGACCAAACCCCAGCAGTGCAGAGACGTGGAGCAGAAGGTTCCTGTGCTGTGGACAGGAGCAGCCAGCTACCGCGGAAAGTGGCCCTTCAGGGTGCTTCTCCCTGCCCCACAGGGAGGTCCCACCATTTTGGAAGATCCCGGGTCTTCACAGGGAAGAGGCAGTGGGAGTGGCTAGGGCCCAGCAACATGAGCCCACCAGGGTAACTGGCACCATCGGACCAGTGGACACTCTGTGTCAACACAGAGCAGTGCACAGTAGTGGAGCTCCCAAGGTGCTGGTCACAGAAGCCGTAGACAGCCCGGAGCCCAGCACCATCCCCCATCGTAGCAGCCCGATCAGAGTCGAGATATACCCCAAGCAACAAAAGCTGGGGAGGAGACATCCATCCCCAGGCAAACAGAAGCACAGACCACCAGCTGAGACGCATGCCCAAAAACTGCAGCAAAAGCTGAGCAGGAGTTGAGCCCCACTGGGCAACAGCACTCCCCAGGCACCAGCTGCGGGACCTGGGGCTCCACAGAGGCCTGTGGGGTCCAGTAGCTCACAAGAGCAGTGGGAAGCCAGAGCCCGAGAGACTGGTGCGATCCAGCTGCCCGCCCGCAGGAACTGCAGGGTGCGGGGGCACCAGAGAGGTCTGTGTGACACAGCAGGGACTGTGTGATCCAGTTACCTAGGGGACGTACGGGGTGCTAATGCACCAGAGAGGCCTGTGCCACCCAACAGTTACCGGAGGGAACTGTGGGGTGCTGAAGCACCAGAGAGGCCTGAGCAACCCAGCAGGGACTGTGCCATCCAGATACACGTGGGACCTGTGGGGTGTTGAAGCACTGGAAAGGCCTGTGCGACGCAGCAGCCCATAACATAGGCACAGAGCTGGGTCCCCAAAGGGACTGTGCAATCCAGTTACCAAGGGTCCTGCAGGGTACTAGGGCACCAGGAAGGCCTGTGCGACCCAGCTGCGCACAAGACAGGCATAGAGAATGTGAAAAACGGAAGCGGAGTGAATAGAAGCTACCTACGCAGATGATCTCCCAGGACCAAATGGGAATTACAACTTACATAAAGATGAATCCTCGGAAAATCAATAGAAAAGCAGCAGGATAGGACCAAATAAAAAGGGACACTGGTAGAATTTGT